ATATAATATCTGTCCAATGTAGTCAAATCAAGTACATTTTATCACAATACATATGAGATCGTAATGCAGTATAATATAAGACAGAGCAACACTCTCTCCTTCACTTTGTTCGCGTGCGACATGTCTGACACTTCAAATTCTGATCATCACTCTACGATGTGTACTCTCAGCTTTGGCACATGAAAATCTTTTCGTCTGCCGTCATGTTCAAGAAATCCAAAGAACCAAGATGATAGAAATATCACGCTCTGATATCAATTCTTACGATTTTTCACAAGAAACAGATATAAACACATCAAATGATTTTGTCCGATGCCATATTGAAGAAAACTAAAGAATCCATCGATTAAAATTGTCACATTTTAACATCAATTGTTACAATCTTTCATGAATAAACACCAAAAACACAAGTGCATCCCTCTACCCGCAAACAATAAAGTATGTGGTTGGTTATTATGGACACATAAAGCTTTTACTGATGAAAATCTTAAAATATCATTGAAAAATTTCGCTATTTATCTTTGTTAGTGACAATACAATCTAAAATTTAACTAGATTTAAACTAACCTAGGTTAAAGGAGAAATGAGGTAGTAATTACAACTTATGTATGTGAAGAATAATTTTCAAATCTGACAACATTATTCTTATATATAAAGATTTTACACATATGTTATGGTTTGAATACATAAAATAATATATGATTTTAAAAAAACAAATCTTGTAATGTATGTCCACGGTCAAGAGTAAAATCTTCACTTGAGTACAAGTGTATAGAGAGCCTCCATAGTCAAGCTCTCATCCTTACTATTCACTCCCAAAGTGCAACTCTAAACTGTAGGTATTGCACGGTTGCTTCTCTCTTCTATACAAGAAGAAATAAGGTGCACATTTTAGTTAATTTAACAACAATTAAGTTTCCTAACCATAGTTATCACTAAAGAAGATTGTAAGGCTCAAGATTGATAAGAGAATGATCGAGTCTCGTTGGACTTCTCTTGACAAGATATAGGTTTCCAGTCGAGCTAAAAAGAATCTCCCTATCTGAACTATAATTTTAAGTACTAAAACACAAATAAACAAAAATTATCAAGTCTCTTAAAGAACAAACTTACAACCAGAAAAAATAAAATTTGTCAAGAACTTGTCTGGGAGGTAAAAACCACTTACGCTCTACTTGGTGTTTATTACGTCGTCATGTAACCGGTTCTACTAGAAGGATACTCCTTGAGATAAAAAAAAAAAAAGCTTATCCATGCTAGAAAACTCTTTTATATTGTAACTTACAATCGATAGATTTGATTTCGTCATCAAAAAGCCAAGTTTAACTTAGAAATGCCGTCACTTCCTAAGCATTCACTCCATTCCATTGTGGAATTATTCTTTCTTTGTGTCTTCTTCCTTGCAGAACGAGTACTTCTCGATGATTTCATCCCTTGGTCACTTGACATTTTCCTCAATTTTCATAGAGCCTCAGAGCAATCTATTTCCTTGAGAGTCAGGTTCACTTGCAAGAGCCTCGTCAGTTACCTCAACTCCTCCTTGATTTCTTAGTGATTCTTAGACTATTCCGAGATAAAGACAAAGACAAGCTATTGATACTTGTGTTCCACTCAAGCATCAGAGCAATTGCTTCCATATTTCATTAAAAAACCTTTTCAATCTAAATATAAATGTAATTGCTTCCATATTTCTTTAACAAACCTTCGCAATCTAAATATAAATGCAGTCTATTTAAAACCGAAGTTTCTTAAGATATTCCATTCATCGAAAAACTACCTTCCATATTTCTTCGGTTGCCATGAGAGCTTTGAATCATGGGCTAGAATGACTCCCGCTGCTGCATGGTTGGAATTATGTCTAGTGAAAGCATATGGATTCTGATGAGAGTGTTGAACATTGCGACAGTTTGATCACCCGTATTCCCATCCGGTATGTGGACGATGTAGGATTCAATTACCAAAAAATCTTGAGTTCCATTGACTTAGGTCCTGTCAGTTGAGCAATCTATACTCTCCTCCACGCATGCGGAAACTAAGAATTTTGTTCTCCTTGTCAAGAAGTTTGAGTTGCTCGATGCTATCAGTACCGGGCAATCTGATATTTGATAATCTATCAAAATTCTTCCATTCGTGATCAAAACTTGCTTCAATTTCCTTGTAGAGAGAACCGCTTGCTTGGTGGGAAACACTTTTGGAGGTGTATAATTCTCTGGTTTTTTTATTCTGCGGTGTTTAGACTTGCGATGTAGAACATTGGCTCTTCTATGCTCTTGAACTTCCTCTCCATCCTCACTCTCATGTTCTCCCTTCTGTGTCTATTTTCTGTTCAGTAAACATCAAGCACAAGGTGTCTATCTCTGAATTTACCACATAACATCTGCAAGTATATGTCAAATCAAAATTCAAAATTTTAAAAATTAACTCCAGCTCTAAACCCAAGCTCTCCATTTTCGCTTAGGAACTCCATGTTAGTTTGCCAATTCTCATCTGTAGTAGAACGCTGCTGGAACTGAAATCTCTCAAAACTATCTCCCACTCATACTAGTGAACCTGGACATATGATGCAATAAATATCTTATATGTCTAGCGTTTCCAAGCTGCTGCAGCTGCTAATTGATTCCATCACTTGAAGACGCACTTGGCTGCGCCACCCTGTGTTTGTCGACAACGATCATCCTAGGGGAAGAAAACCTAAACTGCTGTCCAACTTAATATGCAACATAGTCTGGAGGCCAAAATTGAATCAACGATACAAACCTGGCTTTTCCTACCATTAATATAATCTGAGTTATTCTAATAGTTATTTTTTCAAAATAAATTATACAAATCTGCCTTTCTCTACCATTAACTTAATTTATGTTATTTCAATAGTTATTTATTTGAAAAAAAAATTAAAAATTTGGCTTTCCCTATCATTAATCTAATTTATGTTATTTTAAAAGTTATTTTTTGAAAAAAAAATATACAAATCAAGTTTTTTCTATCATTAATCTATTATATGTCATTCTAATAGTTATATTTTTAAAAAAACATACAAATTAAGTTTTTTCTACCATTAATCTAATATATGTCATTCTAATAGCTATTCTTTGAAAAAATTAGACAAATCAAGTTTTCCTTACCATTAATCTAATATATATCGTTCTGATAAAAATCTTTGAAAAAAATTTAAACAATTCTTGTTTTTTTCACCATTTATTTATTCTATGTCATTCTAATAGTTATTATTTGAAACGAAAATTACAAATTTAATGTTCAATACCATTAATCTGATCTAAATCATTCTAATAATTATTATTAGAAAATTCTATTATGTTATCTAAAAATACCCGCTCACAAGATCCACAAAAGCTTCCGAAATGTTAAAGCGTGTGTTGGGATGGTCTGGAATATAATCCGAGAAAAATGATATTTTGCTCAGTTCGCATATATAGAGCCTGCGAGCGACCGTCTGAGATCATTCGTTCATTAACACCCAAAATATTTTTTTAAAGGTATATAATATAAGGTAATTATAGATATGTATAAATATTTAGAATTCTTCTCGTTCGAACTTTTGACATGATGGTTTCGTCTTCCAGGACCGGGAAGTTACCGCTTCTTGTCAAAGAGACTTCGGGACGAAAGTACTTTGCGTGAATGGTGGTGACCGAACCACCGTCGGAAACGCTTCCTTTGACAAAAAGTGCCACTTCCGAAGACTTGGAAGCTTTGACATGCGACCCTTCCGAATCATAATCATCATAATCCTGGATGCTCGTACGTGCATGCTTCTCAGCAATGACGAGGCCTGGGCCTAATCTCTACCTCCAACCACATCAAAGGGTTTGCATTCCCGACAAGTTAAATTGGCGATCGTGTCAAGACACCATCCGGCTGAGCTCTTGCCGTTCGCGGAGGTCTGCCATTGATGAATTGGAAACGAATCAAACCGAGGCTTCCAAGTTCCCACAAAAACGAAGAGCAAAAACGGACCAACTCCGTGAGCTTTTCTTTGTTCTCTCACAGACCCAGATTTAAGTCTGTAGGAGTCTGTCACCCGTCAAGTCTCGACATTAAGTACTTCAATATCGGATCCGTTCCAAAGGTAGATCCACGGTCGCACCTATCCTCCCCTGCCCTGGTGTGACCCGTGTTTGTACCCACAGTGTAAACCTCCAGCTGGCACCCTCGACTCCACCATTTCAGCTTGTACAGGAACATGCAACAAGAACAAAAGCACGTGAAGCTGTAAATGTTGCAAACTGCGATTGACTTCCATGCCTTAGTGGGGGATAGACTTTACTGCGAGTGAACACATGACATTCTACTTCTGTGCGTCGCACTTCTCAATAAAGAACCTAAAAGTAGAATAGTGAAATCAATCTGATAACGAAGGCTCGGATTGCTCAATGGCGGGTATACTTTCACAGTCTTCAACGGTATCGGCCACTAAAGCTCTCTCCAGAATGCTCTTGAAATTCGTCGTCTGTAAAATTCGATTTGAGATATTAGTTGGAAATATCACTTGTAGGAGTGGCAGACGCTTTAGAGAATTTTCAATTAAGAGACAAAATCCCTGCTTGCTTAGCTTCTTCACAATCTCGAAGGCGATTCTACCAATACAGCCCGGCTAACCTTCTGAATCACTGCCTTATCTTGAAATTCAGGATTGGAAATACATGATTTCGCCTAAACTTTATAGTAAACAGATATAATATTGCACATATTATATTGTGCTTTCCAGGTCCCCTTCACTGTATCTCATCCGGGACCCGGAGTGCTGTGAAGAACATTGCAGAACATAGCATCTTCGGTTGATCCTTTGCCTTGGATACGTCATGGCCTGTAAGTAAGCTCGAGATTTACTGATACAAGGTGATTGCGAATTCGGATGATATAAGGCGGTTTGAGTGGGCTCCTTCTCAGATCACTTGAAGCTCCGATTTACTGCATAGAAGTGCACCTGACCACAACTGCAACGACCAACACTCGAGTTCGATATGTCACCAGTTCTAAAAATGAGTCCACAGCAGAACCTGGGAGATGACGAAGCTGGGAGGCTGAAAGCTTTGCAGATAGCTATGATGCTTGCCCTCCCATTCAGTTTGAAAGCTGCTGTGAATTTAGGTGTACCCAAAATTTTGGTGGACGCAGGTTCTGGAGCTGACCTTACAGCTGAAGACATTGCGACGTCCATTGCCAAGCTCTTGGACCGCTGTGCAGATGCCACAAATTTGGACCGCATCTTGAGAGTTTTGGCATCGCACAACGTCTTGACAGAGATTGTATCGAAGAATGGCAATGACTCCGACTGTCCTCAGAGGAGTTATGGACCCACTTCAACTCTCAAGTATTTCACTGATAACGAAGATGGAGTTTCGCTAGCTCCATTTCTTCTTATGGCCACTGATACTGTTATCCTACCAACCTTTCAATACCTTCACTTGCCAGTTCTGGATGTGAATATGGAACCTCACGTTCTTGTTCATGGGATGAATCCTTCGAGTACGCTGCAACCGATGCTAGATTTGACAAGCTGTTTAATAAAGCCATGCATGATCACACACACATAGAAATGTCGGCATTACTGAAGAAGTACAGAGGCTTTGAGACCTTGACCTCATTAGTCGATGTCGGCGGTGGGTTGGGTGCTACATTGGCCATGATTCTGTCCAAGTATCCGAAAATACGCGGAATCAATTTCGACCAACCACATGTTGTAGCCGACGGGCTGCAAGTGCCAAGTACGGTTGTCTCTCCCTTCCTCGCTCATTACATACTGCAGACATATAGTATGCACTGTTATCTACAGCTCTATTTCCACAGGAATGAACTCAGCTTTCTCTACATTCTGGCCTTTCGATATGTGTTGTAGATTTGGAACTCGTTGGTGGAGACTTCTTTGCCAGTGTGCCTGAAGCCGATGCTGTATTCATGAAGGTCTGTATCTTGCTCTTGCTTTGAAGATGTATTAGATCTGCAATAAAATTGTTTCTTTAGTAGGAACAATGATTGCACAGAAGGGGTTGCCACGTTTTTCTCTCTCTATTGTGTGAATTTGCAATTGTCGAAAGCAAGAAGAATTCTTTTTTTTTTAAATGCTTCTGAAGGTGATTCTGGATTGCATGGTCGGTGATCTAAGTTCATCTTTCTTTGTGGGACGGGGACAGTGGATTTTGCATGATTGGGATGACGAACAATGTGTCAAGATACTGAAAAACGTCTGGAGAGCTTTACCTCCTCATGGCAAGGTCATCAACCTCGACTACGTGTTGTCAGACAACTCAGATCCATCCCCTGCAACCAAGATCTCCTTATGCACAGATATTTCAATGATGGCAGTCAACTCAAATGGAAGGGAACGTACTCTTGCCCAGTTCAAGAGGCTTGCAGCTGATGCAGGATTCAGAAGAATTGAATGTGTTGCACAAATAGATGATCTGTCACTTCTTGAGTTTTACAAGAATTGATTATCGCTAATTGAACCGGACTTTATTCATTATAAAAATTTTCTTCCCCATAGATCAAATTTTTGCTATTCCTTATATGGACTTTACCCACTTGTAAAAGCTGACACTGTAAACTTCCTTAGTTCTAATTATTGCAAGTACAGCTGGTAGCAATTTAAGAGACCTCGTATTGAGGTCTCGGGTAGCGACTCTGATCTCTAGTCAGAAATTACTCATCCCCTTAGCAATGTGGCTGTTGTCATCAGTTAAGCTATCAATAAAATACAACTTAGACTCCTGGAGTTGTCTCATACGTTCCTGCACATCATATGTAGATAGCCTTGGTTTCAAATCTGACACAATAACCAACTTTTAAAGAACGCTTCCATGGTCTGAAACAAAGAGGACTCTTTTCGATGAGACGACAGGAAGAGAGAAGATTGCTAGCAAAATCAACATCAAATCATCATCCCGCGATATCATCCGAAATACGAAGACAAGAGTTACTTGGATTCTGTTGATTCGAGCGTAGACTAAGAGCAATCATTAAACATTTTGAAGTCCGATCAAGAAAGACAGCACAAGGTCTAGGTTGTCGTCAATGGTGCCAGCCCACGATAATAGTTTTGGCTGCACTGACCTAAGATGAAGTGAATGGTTTGGTAACCGAGTGAAAACAATATGGTCTCCTTTCTTGGCCGTCAGAATTGCAGTCCTTCAGAACAAGTCAAGAATTTCATTACGTGAAACGACGTATGTGATCGGATGAAGTAAAATTCGAACTATAATAACCCAAATGAACCTTCGTTGCCAATTAGCGACTACGGCAGTGTCACGAACTCATGCTAAGTGGTCCGAAATGTGAACGAATCATGTCACTGGTGTTACAACTACAAGCTACAGGACTTGTCATGCACGTGAAACTAGTGAACAAGTCATGACGTTCATGAGATCGATGCTCCAAATACTACTATATTCCTTGCACGAGGGCTCAACCTTACACCTCTTCCCACAATTGGTTTAGCAATTGTTCCATGAAGATAGATAATCTCATGCAATGTAGTCTACAGGAAGAATTTAAAAGGGTTAGCAGTAGCCTCTGGATTAATAACCCTCAACAATAACCGAGGGCCCGCACGTTTTTTCCCTTTGCAACCTTGACCTTTTGGAAAAAATATCAGCTTTCTTTCTAGCAGAAAAGAAGCTGCAAAGCAACTCTGTCCGCCTCGTCGTAAACCACGGAAGAAATTCAAGCTAAAAGCGAGCACTGTGTGTGAAGCTTTCCTTGCAAAATTCTTACTGCAGCTTCTATGTGTGGTGCACGCCTAATTCTTGAATGCAAATAAGAGATATATGACAAAATCATGGGGATACGCCATCAATACATGTATCCAACACAGTACCAGCACTACACATCATATCTCTCAGGATAGAACTAGTTCAACAACTACCGATTCCTGTCATGGACTCGATGCAACTTGACAATTATACCAGCATAAACACTTCATGATCACGGTAACAACGGAATGCTTACCAATTTGGGAAGACGTATTACACTTCTTAAACTCCAAACAAGTCTCTTGTCTGAGAGCTTCGCTAAAGCGGCTGGGCTAACGCTAGCTAACAAGCGGCTGGTCCGAGATCCTTCCGGGGTGGGTTTGTATTATGGTGGGTTTGTACATGGTAATGTAAATGGTAACCATTGATAACAACCTGGACCTTGTGATTTTTCTAAGAACTATACATATGTACCTGCAATAATTGAAGGTACGGTTGTGGTTTTCAGTGGCAGCTTCTATAAGTGGATAATGTCTGGATCAGAATTAGCACAACGTTGGTTTTATCGCTAAGAAAAGCTTCTTCTTTTTTTTAATAAAGTTCGGATCCAAATAAAAATAATTAATTTTTGTAAAACTCCAGGATTGACATATGACTTGTTTTTGCAACAAGTTCAACTCTTTTAAATCCCGCATCAGCTGCAAGTTTCTTGAACTGGGACAGTGTACGTTCCCTTCCACTTGGAGTGCATGCCATCATGATCATATCCATGTACAAGGAGATCTTTGTTGCAGGGGATGGATCTGAGATGTCTGACATCAGTGCGTCCAGGTTGATGACCTTGCCATGAGGAGGTAAGGCTCTCCAGACGTTTTTCAGTATCTTCACACATCGTTCGTCATCCCAATCATGCAAAATCCACTGTCCCCATCCCACAAACAAAGATGGACTTAGATCGCCGACCATGCAATCCAGAATCACCCTGAGAACCAATTTCCTCTAAAAATACTTCTTGCATTCGAGGGTTTGCAATTCCACACAAAATTAGAGAGAGAAAAACGTGAAAACTCATTCTGTGCAATCACAACTTCTACTCGAGAAACAATACATCTTCAAGGCAAGAGCAAGATACAGACCTTCATGAATACAGCATCGGCTTCAGGCACACTGGCAAAGAAGTCTCCACCAACGTGTTCCAAATCTGCAACACATATTGAAAGTCCGTAATGTACAGTGAGCTGAGTCGACTTTTGTGGATATAGAGCTGTAGATAATGGTGTATATTATATGTCTACAATATGGAGCGAGAAAGGGACTCAGAGAGAACCGTACTTGGCACTTGCAGCCCATTGGCTACAACATGTGGCTGGTCGAAATTGATTCCGCGTAAATTGGGGTACTTGGACAGGATCATGGCCAAAGTAGAACCCAACCCACCGCCCACATCTACTAATGAGGTCAAGGTCTCAAAGCCTCTGTAAGTCTTCAGTAACGCTGACATCTTTATGTTGGAATGATCATGCATGGCTTTGTTAAACAGCTTGTCAAGCTTAGCATCTGTTGCAATATACTCAAACAAGTTCATCCCATGATCAAGCGTATGAGGCTCCACATTCACATCCAGAACTGGCAAGTGAAGGTTTTGATAGGATGCTAGAAAAACAGGATCAATGTGCATAAAAACGAATGGAACTAGGGAAACTCCATCTTCGTTATCAGTGAAGTACTTGAGTGTGGAAGTGGGTCCACAACTTCTTTGAGCAGAGTCAGAGTCATTGGCATCCTTCGATACAATCTCCGTCACGACGTTGTGAGATGCCAAAATTCTCAAGATGCGATCCAAATTTTTGGAATCTGCACGGCAGTCCGAGACCTTGGCAATGGACGTCGCAATCTCTTCAGCAGTGAGCTCAGCTCCAGGACCTGCGTCCATCAAGATTTTTGGTACACCTAAATTTATAGCAGCTTTCAAAGTGAATGGGAGGGTAACCATCACAGACATCTGCAAAGCTTGCAGCATCCCAGCTTCGTCATCTCCAAAGTTTTGCTGTGGACTCATTTTAGAACTGGTGAGCTATCTAACTCGAGTGTTTGTCGTTGCAGTCCTGGTGAGGTGCACTTCTATGCAGGAAAGCGGAGCATGAAACGATCTGAGAATGAGCCCATCTAAGCCGCGTTATATACCATCAAGTTTTCCAATCACCCTGTCTCGGTCAGTCCCGAGTTGACGTTCACGACATGTCCAGAGCGAAGTATCACCCGATTCCAACAGCTTTCCGAGTCCCGAAGAGACATAGTCAACGGCACGACACATATATTATAAATAAATGAGAGGCAGTGCTCTGTTGAGTACACTAACATGTGTATTTAACAGCACTGCATTCATCAGCTGGCGCCATAATTAGGATACTCATTACTTCTTACGGTAGGGCATCGGGCCCGCTATCCATACTCTTCAGGATAGTTGATCTCCCATCCACCAGTCCACCAACATGGGCGGCTGCGTTCGTACCTTTTGAACGGACTATTTATGAACGTACTACAGTGGTCAATATAAACGTGTCGAGATTTTCTGATAAGATATTCGTAAAGAGAAGTATATGCGATAATAAAGAGAATATATCTGCGATATTATGAATCAAATTATTACTTCTGGCGAAAACCTTTTTGTCATAATATTCAATCTAGATGTATGTTGTTAGATTTTACATTTTAGATTTTCACTCTTTACTACGTCAAGTAAATCTAACAATTTACTACTACATTATTTGTACTTTAATTTCTTACTCTAGTTAAATAATTAGTAACTTGATTGCAAAAAAACAAACTATTTCGTTGTTATAAATTACGAGCATTAATATCATGCAATATCATCTTTGTATAAAAGATGAAATATAAAATATTTGCACGTTCGTCTTAACAAAAGTATAATATTGAAATGATGAAAAAAAATCTTTATGCAAGAGAGTTAAATATATATAATTGGTTCTAAAGCAAAAAGAATCAAAGATAGCAAACACTTAAAAATCTATGATTTAAAAAAGTTGTAATGCCAAAAAAAAATATTAAAATAGTCAAAATAACAAATAGGTTAAATGACAAAAATTGTCCAAATGAAAAAAGTTGTCAAAGCATCGAATGCATCAAAGCGGTGAAAATTTAAAATGCAAAGAAATGAAAGCATCAAAAAATGTAAATTTACAACTTTGAAAAAATGCAACGTTGTCAAAAACAATAATGAGGAATTCTACAAATGATGAAAATGAATAAAAGATACAGTATTGTGTTGATATCGCATTGTATTAGTCAATGCACAGATTAAAGCTTTTCTTTCAGTTTTTTGTGTGTCTCATCGATTTCAACAGGTATAATCAAAAAATTTTGTGTTGTTTAAATTTTTTTAATTGTATCACATAATAATTGTAAAATATTATAATAGGATAATGCATTCTTATTCAAACTTCACAAAAAAATTTATTGAAATGTGTTTTAAGTATTTTTAATTTTTTAAAAATGAATTCCAATTATTAAGTTGTAACCTCTATCATTACTTTTCAAATTATCAAATCAATTAAAAATCAATTTGCATACAAGTTTGTATAACATTTATTATAGTTTTCATACAATTTCTCAAACCAAATTCACACTTGACAGAATATTTTTTTCAAATCCAAATCTAAAATAATCAACTTCAAATTTTATTCTGATTCACTAAATTTACCTATTAGTACGATAGATATTAATTTTTATTTCATTTTATTAATGTGTAAATTTAACATTTTTTGTCACTTTGCTATTTTCAAAGATTTTATTAATAGCAATTTGATTATTTTGGCACTTCAAAACTTTGAATTTCAAGAAAAAAAAATCTTTTTAGAAAATCTATTTACAAATTACGTAAAATATATTTTACGTAAAAATTTATGTATAAAATTAGTAGCTAAATATAATCAAAAGTAGCTTAGGCATGGATAAGATAATAATAATTCACTTTTGAATTAAGTTTACAAACATTTCAATTATAACAAGAATTTCAATAGATTTGATACAACTCATATAGTTATTACATACATTAAAGCATGTTGACAAAAAATACACAACGTGTATTTTTTAACAATTTGACATTTTTGCATTTTTTCCATTGTCATTATTTCAAATCTTTACTTATATAGGTAATTCAGCATTATATGTTCTTAAAAAAGATGTTATTCCAAATTTTATTTTATTTTTTGTGTTTCACTCTCAACCTCTATTGTAATGTTTGAAATTTTTGTACTTTAAGTGTTTCGCACTTTGTCAAACATTGTGTCAATAATCAGAATTTCGTCAGTTGCTCTTCTGCATTTTAATAAGTCATTAATTGGACGAGTTTGAAAATAACATGTTTTTCCATTTTCAATTAGCGATTGCGCTATTATTTTAAGTTAACAACACAAATGAACTCAGTGTAACTTAAACATAATAAAAGATGTAAAATAATGAAAGGTGGAAGTTACAAGTTAAAGCAAATATTTGTGCAACAAATTTTGTATAAAAATATATCAAAAGAATAAAAATCATCACAAAAAATCGAAATTCACATAATTTTGAGAGAAACTAACTAAATATATTTTAGTCTTTTAAATTTTATACAAATAATAAAAAAAGACTAAAACCTCAACGAGCTAAACACGCAATATATGGAAAATAAAATTATTGTAATATTATAACTTTTTGTATTTTTCAAAATTCAAATATAAAATCAGTTTTTAGACAATTAGACATTTTTTATGATTGATACTGATGATGTTATGAAAAAAATTGAAAGATTTTCTCTGAACAGAAAAAATGTTATGATTCCAAAAAAGATGTTAACTAGAACTTTGTATACATTTTTTGTGTTATAGAATTGCATCAAATGTAGTCGCATTGTTCGTTCAATTTTGCATGCTATAGATCTCATTTTTATTTAAAAACTTGCTCAAAAAAATGTTTAATTTTGTTAAACTTTGAATTTCAATGCATGTTCATATGAAGTTTGAAATCAATTGTTAAGATCTTGTTATGTTAAGTTTTTCATATAAAATTGTGCACATAAATTCGGTTTCAATTTCAAATGAAAAACTCGTTGAACATAACAAAAGTGCTGAAAGCAATTCTTCATAGAGTTAGACTGAAATTTTAATCAAAACTGACTCCGGCTAAAAGCCCTCCAGTCTTTTAAGGAAATGCTTACTGTGCATCCTCCGGACGCGGGGCGTTGAGTACGAAAAGTCGACTTTTCGTACTCAAAGGAAAAGTCGACTTTTCCTTTATCCTGCTCATACTTTTTCTCATTTTGTGACAGCTTTTTCTCATGTTGGACAAGCTCTTCTTTTTTTTGGTCAAGAGCTCGGTCTTTTAGAAAACGCTCGTGTAAACGCTCATTGTCATACATTTCAATACCGAAAATCCCCACCCGGCCTACCTTCAATGACAGCAATAAACGCCAGGATTCCCCAAAAATTTCTTTAGGCCCAATGAGTTGCCCACTGTACCGGAGAATTACCGGCTCAAATACTCGTTTATCACAATTCTTAGAGGTCGTGCTTTTACACTGGGATGTCATCTGATCAAGTAGATGCGAACAACTATTTTAGTGTTTGAAACTGCTGTTTTTTCTTCGCTCTCATGATCGCAGAGACTCAGCACATTGTATCTGGATGTCAATACAAGAAGCCACTTAAATTTCACATTTAAAAGCAAGAAATCAAGCTGCATCTGAGCATCTTCTTGTCAGTGATTGCTTAGCTACATCAAATTCCAAGTTACAACCAATTCTACTCTATTATCTGCAAGTCTACTAGACTATCCATGTTTGTTACCTCCAATTCTCAAACGTTTTATATCCTGTTTCTTTGTTGGACATTAGTTCTCAACGGAGAGCATTCGTTCATCTATATGTACTCTGTCTTAGTTTTGGTCGGTATGACAACGCCTTGGCTCACAGCAGCAAGAGTAGTAATAAAGGCAATCAGAGATAGTGATAGTGACAGCCATGATAATAAAGGCAAATTGCTCGACCCCATTTTTCTCACTTGGCTAAGGATGCACGACTTTCATACACTGTTTGTTGCTGTTTTCGAGTTTTGAACTACTTTCACAATGGATAAAAAGTTCGTTTGCTGATAAAAAGCTAGCTTTTTATCGGCAAACTAACGCTTTTTAACGTTGCAAAAAGCTAGCTTTTTATCGGCAAACTAACGCTTTTTAACGTTGCAAAAAGCTAGCTTTTTACAACAATAGAACTTGCAAATCAATGCTGTATCTTGGAAAAGATACTGATTCTTCACAAGCTTGTGATGAATCACAAGCATGCCTCTTTGTACCTGTAGCCCGAGGCTTCACACCAAAATCTCCTTGTCTCAACCGCAAAATAAATTGTATTTGAAATTTCCTTGTGAAAAAAGAATCGTAACAGCTCGTTTCAGCTCGTCGAATACGGTTCACTCGAAGTATTGGTCGTGGTTATGACAGATGAAATTTCAAAGTTTTTGAACTGATGCGTAATGGAATTAGATGGTTATACTTCCAAAGTGAAATCATCTGAAATGCATTCAGCTGTTGAGTATCTCATGGGTCAAATCGGTAGGCGGACAAGGTCCGTGTCTGGATTCAGCCCAGGGTATACATTGTCATGCAGTCCTTGTCCTGCAGACGAGTCGAAGTCAGCGGATAAATAACACAAATTCGACAAATGCAACTCACATTGTTCACCGTTCTTGCCATGCCATGCCGTTGCACAACACATCTGTCGTGACACGTTTGAGTACGGGATCGAAGTATTTACTCGAGACATTGACATGACATGCTTCTGTTGGGTCACAAACTCCCAGATCGAGCTACCGGGAACTTGATTGCAACAACGACAAGTTGCAAGTTAAGGAAAGTCCTTCTGAACAGATAATCGTTCCAAACCGGTTGTTCTATTTCTCTTTCTGTCGCTATGACTCGAATGGTCACCTCTGCAAACGCACACACAGACCTGTCATCGCGCATCATAATATCTGAATCTTTTAATTCGATTTGAAACTCGACACTATGTAATTGGAGCTCACAAACTCCTTAAACATGCTTTTAAAGCATGTTTAAGGAAATTTTGATTTATTCATCACTAAGAGTTGAGTCATTCCTTACTTCAGAATACTGCAACCTAAAAAGACCATGTGGACTTCGATGCATTGAACTGCCTGTTCAACGGTATAAAGAGAATTGAAATTTCTTCCGAAGACTGGTTTTGGACCGGCCAGTCGTGAGTAGTGGAAGCCAACTATAAGCTGATTGGTTCACATTTCAAATATTCATAAAGTTGTGGAAATAGGAACTGCAACTTGCAGTGTTCCGATTCAATGCTATTGAAACCATAAATGATGTTAAGACTTTTGATTTGTATTACTTAACTACATAAGTATATTTTTAACATCAAATTTCACTATCTTAATCATAAGATCTATCAGAATTGTCCAAAAACATTACATTAGCATCAATTAGTTTGATGTGGTTTTATAAACTTTAAATTCCTAGTTTTCTAAAGAAATTAATTTTATTTTTTTGAAATTTAAACCTTGAAATTTTCAGTTCAATACACATTAGATTTTTGCATAATTCTACAAAAAAAATTGTATATAAATTATCATAAAATTTAATGAAAACTTAGATGTTCACTTAAAATTTTATTTTTTATTGTATACATATAGTCTCAAGATTAAATTAATTCATGTTAAATATGCATTGCAATTGAATATGTAAAATTCATCCAAATAACTGAATGAAATTTACGTTCAATGTTCAATAGTTAAAATTGGTTATCAAATATTGTGTCTTCAATGAAATAATATATGTTGTTTTTGATGTAAAAAAAAATTTGTCATTTGATTTCTAATAGTATTCATTCAATTTTCATTTTTATCATAAGTTCAGCTAAATAATTTTAGTCATTATCTATTTCCACCTATTGAATTCTTTGAGCAAATGAACCGTCTAAGTTTGTAAATATGTTTTTAACAATTGTTTGAGAAATAAACATAAATTTATAGCTTCTTTTAAGTTCATTCATTTATGAAGAAATTTGTGAAAGAGCAGTTTACAATTTTCCAACTACTTTAAATTTACATCAAATTTTTCATGTAATAAATAGCTAGAACATTAAAAGAAAATTAAATTAAACAAAATTTTCTTGTCAGTTTCATTTCTACTTCTTTTCAAAACACGTTATATGAAAGACAAACTGGTACATCTAAAATTTTCACATTGTTATAATACTTTCACTTTAGAAAATTAGCAAAATCATTACGGATATGTATAGACTAAATCCACAAACCTCAATCATAGGTTCATTTTCTATGTAAATAGATTTAATTGAGCGTCAACAACGGATCCGGATATCGGATCAATACAGGCCGGTCTTTTCTACTCATTCTGTCTATTGTATAGCCGTACATTATTACACTGGTCTGTGATCTTTTTCCGAATAAGAGCAACCCGACAAATATTGACTTCGTATGGCGAAGGATCATGAGTACTAGTGGGGCGATACGTCAACACGTTATCTGAACAGTAAGCAATCACTGTTTGCTATAGTAAGCGCAATTTCCAGAATGCCATGTCAACCAAAGGGAATACATGAGCGAGCTTCTGTATCTAACTACGAAGGTTACCCTCCATAATCGCTTACGAGGAACGTTTTGAACGTTCCATGCGTTCTGAAACGACCTGTTACGATTCTTTTTCAGACGGAAATTTCAAATTCAATTTATTTTTCGGTTGAGACAAGGAGATTTTGGCGTGAAACCTCGGGCTACAGGTTCAAAGGAGCAGGGTTGTGATGAATCAGTATCTGAGGATGCACGACTGTCACACAGTGTTTGTTGCTGTTTTAGATTTCTGAACTAATTTCAGAATAGATAAAAAATTTGTCTGCAGATAAAAAGCGAGCTTTCTACAACGATAGACCTTGCAAATGAATAATTGTGTACCTATCTTCGAAAAGATAGGTACACAATCTGTACAGCAACATAGAGTGTATGACAGTTGTGCATCCTCAGCCAAGTGAGATAATGGGATCGAGCAATCGGCCTTTATCATGGCTGTCACTAACACGAGCTCTGATTGCTTTAATTGCCACTCTTGCTGTGAGCGAGGCGTGGAGATACCGACCATGTATTTGCATGCGTCGAAAATCTTCTCCGAGCTTCACGTTATCCCAAGAGGATACGATTGCAAAGAACATGAGGTAAGTCATCTCAATCGCTACTTGCTACTGTGTCGGCCCTACTCATGAGTCTTCTAAATCAGAATAGTGGCAAAAATATTCCTCAACCTTCGCTTTTGTTTGGCATGGTTTAAGAAGCCATAGGGCCAATCAGATTCTGCAACGAGAAGATAGCTGAACTTGGACGGTGTATGTGTAATTTGTCTACACTGGCAGGTGTATTCGGACGATAGTTAAATGCTTCGTCTGCATCGGGTTATACCCGGGACAGCATGGACAAGTCTGTGTGGGAAGAGCTGGAGCCGATTATTAAACTGCAGCGCAAACCTAAGAGTCCGTTCCCCTTGTTCAAGAATCCACTGCAAGTTCCTTAGGCTGTAACTGGGTACAGCCTCAGGAACTGGCGATGGATTCTAGAACAAAGTTACGCAAGCACTCCTACGAGCAGCTCCAAGAGTACACCATCTCCGCCATCCTCCTCCTACTCTCCTCCTGGTGGATATGGAGCTCCGTCTTCCTCCTGCTCCCCACCAGGCACAGTCAGTAAAGGAAGATCGACTTCAACTCCATTGTCATACTCTCCCCCGCAGCCGATAAATATGAGACTCCGAGTCCTGTTTCCTCCTCCTCGCGGCCTCCCGGTGAATTTATAGATGGAGATGGAGGATCATCTGCTCCCAAGTCCTCGTACTCTCCCAGTGTTGAGGCCTCCTACCGCCTTCCCCCATTGTTGGCTGTTAATGGTTAATGACACATACGGGATTGGATTGCAATTAGACAATCGACGATGCAAGGTAATGTTTATGACCAGACGCTTATTTGCAATTACAGGCGTCGGGCATGAGAGAATGGTTTGAGCCTGCTTTCGTGCCAATCGTCGTACTCCAGCAGTAAGGCAGCAGCACGCTCGAGGCGACGGACGGTTGCATGAATTGACGTGAATTCGAGTATCTTCAATCTGTACACTGTCAGGTCTGCAGCGATGAGATGAGTTCGGTGAAGTTAGGAAAGAGCGGGAACTAATACAGATTCGTGGCGTCGCAGGGAGTTCCATGTAGATGCCATTCCTTTTACGGGCCGGCGTCTCGTCTGTGGTTCGACCTCTTCATTTGATTCTCCCCAGAGCTTTAGAACTATGGGCTAGTGGAAAGAATCGATGGATCAATAGCCTTCCATCGATGTATCCTTTGCGGTATCGGAATGGCATCTGACCCTGTGCCTTTTGCTTTGCCTGCATGTACACAATGAATGCCCGATTGCATCCTAGGTCCCAATGTGCTCTCGCTCGATCACGTGTGGGATGGAGTGGCGTCGTACAAGAATCTCGAGCACCTCCGTCAGGGTAAGCTTGACGATCGATCTCGAATACATCAGAAGGCAGGATCGAGTTTTCACATGGAATTAATTCTTTTCTGAGCGAAGCATGGACCCACTTCTCACATCATCGCGTGAACTGCTTGCATACAAGAATTTCGACGGCTTCCTTTCAGCTCTTCGACTACAGGTCGGCAGCCTTGAATGCGCTAGCATACGACGGGAAAACCGAGTCGCTGGGGATATGTTTCGTCTCGTAAGTGGGAGGGTCGGTTTCCCCCTCCGACTTACGACCCGAAACATATCCCCAGCGACTTGCCCATGTTGGTGGTTTACGGTGAGCAGGATTTATACTCGCCTCCCGACGGTGTGCTGGAATTTATCAGCTTGACGAATTCATCGGTGTACCCTCCTCACTACGCGCACTTTGACAATCCTCTATGTTCAATCACATCTGAAAGGTAGATACTTGACATTTATATTAATTTCATGAAGGTTCAAGGACGAGTGCACAAGTTAATTGTTTACGTGCTCTGACCGTATACACCCACCAATGTGAATTGGTGCAGTCTAACCTCGGTTAAGTCCGCATTTTGATCTGAGAAGGTTGGTGAAGACTTATTGTGGTAACACACTTTTTTGTTTTTTTGCAGAATTTAAACAATTTTAGAAAACTAGTACCAAAGCAGTGTTTGTAGCTAGAGAAGGGTACGCTAAATAGAGTGGATTGATGAGAGCGTCACGAGGGCACAAAGAATCACGTAGTCGGATGTACCAACGCCAACGTCTTCAACGCCTTCGGCAAAAGCTCCTTTTTGAGGTGTCTCTACTCACGCGCCTCCAGCGTATAAGGAAGCTACGCTTCCGGCGCAGACACCTCAGGAGGAGGTTTTGCTAAAGACGTCAGGAGAAGGGCCCGGACCTCTAAGGCGTCCGACCATGAGTGCGCCTTCGGCGAAGCGCCGCTAGCGCGGAAAGGGGAAGCCTTCATAACAATCGAGATACACGGTAGATCCAGTTGGTTGAAGTTGCATTAGAAAGAGCTCGGGACGCTCGTTCTAACGAGCCCAAGAGCGTCGGAGATGGATCAGGAATGGACAAGTTATGAGCGTCGGAAAACTCGTAGCCGGACATGCGCCGTTCGCGCTAGGATTCACAGCCGGAAAGGATTCCCGTACGCCCTCGGCGATGCGCCTTCGGTGGAATCACGCGCTCATAGGAGGAAACCAACTCAGAGTCGGAAGCGCCTTTGGCGGCTGTTCATGGAAGGAAAGCGCCGGTCGGATGTACGCCTCCGACGTGGCGCTGACGGCCGGATGCGCTGGCATGAGTTGCGCCGACAGATATGCGCCGGCAGCAATGGACGAGGCATAAAGGACAAAATAGGCGGTACGACTGCGCGCCGGCGTGATTCGCTCCGGCTGGATGTGCGCCTCCAGCAAGGCGCCGACGGATAATGAACGCACCAGCGGCGACACGCCAGGGCCGACGTATACCCTGCAGCGGACTCGAGTCCGGAAGGAGGCGGCGGCGGGAGAATTCAACGTTTAAGCATGCGAATGCGCGCAGTGCGGAGACGTGAATTCGCGCATGCAAGGGGTGAACCGTTAAGCCGTATAGCCGGCTGCGTACGCTGCAACCAGTAAGAACGTTGGACGTTCTTGGAATCGGAGAAGAAAAGACTGCGCTCCAGTCTCATTCTCTCATTCTTGACTTTGCGATTTCCAGTTTCCAAGATTACGCGCAAGGGCGGAGCGACCTGCAGTGAGAGTAGAGAGTGCGGAGACGAGTTGCGCAAGGATCTTGGCGGACCTTGAAAGAATTGTGAGTAGCGATCTTGGACGAGCGCAGAGAGGGTGAGCAGTCAGTGCTTGAGTGGCCGACGCGCAGTGGCGATTGTGAGAGAGCGAGCGAAAGGGAGAACGTTTGTGTGTGTGCAGGCAACGCAATGTCGAAGGTTCCCCAGCTGCGAGTGTCTCCACTCAGGGTGCCGCAGATCGGTCTACGCGCATTTCAAGATGTGCTGTTGAGGCTGAAGCTCGATTTCCTCCTATGGGGGTGGAATTGGACATGTCCGGAGATGGTGCGCGAGTATCTGCAGGAGAGACACAAGCCTTCTCGCGGATTTCGCCCGCACCCAGAGAGATGGGACATTTGCAATTGGGCGCAGGTGTTGGGCAGGTGTGTCGGCGAGGAAGGGGATCTCCTCTTCGAGGCCGATAGCGTGAAGGTGTCCCAGGAGGAAGAAGTCTCTTACAATGAGCTCTTCAAAGTTCCCAGACATCCCAAGAACGGTTTCCGGACACGGGATTACAAGGATCGATTGCGGAGAAATGTCGCGACGGCATTGCTACAGATATTGCAGCCGACCAAGACCGCTTACATGCATGGTTGGCAGGTAGAGTTCGTGGAGCTAGTGTTGTCAGGAGCTCCGGTGCATTGGGCACGGCTCCTGTGGAAGGTGACGCGCCAACATGCGCAAGAAGAGAAGGGAGGAACCCTCAATCATCTATCGCCTTACTTAATCGTGTTTTACCGGGCGATGGGATGTTTGACAAATGCTGAGAAAACACGGTTTCCGCAGCTGACCCGGACTTATCCAGGTAGATATTCGAGGGAGGCCGAAGTAGACACGGATCCGGACGAGGAACCTGCCAGTACGCCTCCGGCTCCGGCTCCAGCAAGAGCAGCAGAAGAACGTCGAAGTGAGCGCATTCCGCGAAAGCGGAAGTGGGATGAGAGACCTGAGGACAGGCAGCCGGAAGTGCCAGCTGCGCCGACTCGTGGTCGGCCCACCCCCGAGCCTCACAGTCCACCAAAACAGAGGGCACGCAAAATGCCAACTGTTACTGAGGAGACCAGGCGAACTCCGACCCGGCGGAATCCCACACAGGAAGAGATAATAGCGCAGATCCTAGGGAAGACGGCAGATACCTCTACTCAGAAGGCACCACGGCCTTCGGGAGGAGATGGACGGACTGACAGTCGGCCGACTGCGAGTCGGATGACTGAAGGTCGACAAACGGAAGGGAGGCCAACTGAACGGCGCGGTGAACCGGATAGCAGGCCGGAAGCGGAAGAGAGTTTGGCTGACGAGCCAACAATCCTCAGAGGGTCGTCTTCGGCGGAAGGCACTTCCGGAAGAACGCCACCAGCAAGCAGGCCAAGTGGAGTCAAGACGCGCAGGGTGTATCCGACTCCCAGTCGGACAACTGCTGGTCGGCCGACTGCGAGTCGGACAACAGAGAGTCAGCCGGATTCGCCGACTGCGAGACGGATGGGGCCAACGACCAGTGTGCGGACGCCTTCGGCGGACGCACCTTCAGCAAGGACACCTTCCGCGCAGATTGCGCCGGAAGGACAGGCAGCAGAAGCGGGCGGTGCAAGAGTGACAAAAGTCACTGCGGCGTCGACCCCTTCACAAACTGTGGTAACACACTTTTTGTTTTTTTGCAGAATTTAAACAATTTTAGAAAACTAGTACCAAAGCAGTGTTTGTAGCTAGAGAAGGGTACGCTAAATAGAGTGGATTGATGAGATCGTCACGAGGGCACAAAGAATCACGTAGTCGGATGTACCAACGCCAACGTCTTCGGCGCCTTCGGCAAAGGCTTCTTTTTGAGGTGTCTCTACTCACGCGCCTCTAGCGTACAAGGAAGCTACGCTTCCGGCGCAGACACCTCAGGAGGAGGTTTTGCTAAAGACGTCAGGAGAAGGGCCCGGACCTCTAAAGGCATCCGACCATGAGTGCGCCTTCGGCGAAGCGCCGCTAGCGCGGAAAGGGAAAACCTTCATAACAATCGGGATACACGGTAGATCCAGTTGGTTGAAGTTGCATTAGAAAGAGCTCGGGACGCTCGTTCTAACGAGCCCAAGAGCGCCGGAGATGGATCAGGAATGGAGAAGTTATGAGCGTCGGAAAACTCGTAGCCGGACATGCGCCGTTCGCGCTAGGGTTCACAGCCGGAAAGGATTCCCGTACGCCCTCGGCGATGCGCCTTCGGCGGAATCACGCGCTCACAGGAGGAAACCAACTCAGAGTCGGAAGCGCCTTTGGCGGCTGTTCATGGAAGGAAAGCGCCGGTCGGATGTACGCCTCCGACGTGGCGCTGACGGCCGGATGCGCTGGCACGAGTTGCGCTGACGGATATGCGCTGGCAGCAACGGACGAGGCATAAAGGACAAAATAGGCGGTACGACTGCGCGCCGGCGTAATTCGCTCCGGCTGGATGTGCGCCTCCAGCAAGGCGCCGACGGATAATGAACGCACCAGCGGCGACACGCCTCCGGAGAAGGGCGGGTTAGGAAAAGACAACAGGGCCGACGTATACCCTGCAGCGGACTCGAGTCCGGAAGGTGGCGGCGGCGGGAGAATTCAACGTTTAAGCATGCGAATGCGCGCAAGGTGGAGACGTGAATTCGCGCATGCAAAGGGCGAACCGTTAAGCCGTATAGCCGGCTGCGTACGTTGCAACCAGTAAGAACGTTGGACGTTCTTGAAATCGGAGAAGAAAAGACTGCGCTCCAGTCTCATTCTCTCATTCTTGACTTTGCAATTTCCAGTTCCAAGATTACGCGCAAGGGCGGAGCGACCTGCAGTGAGAGTAGAGAGTGCGGAGACGAGTTGCACAAGGATCTTGGCGGACCTCGAAAGAATTGGGAGTAGCGATCTTGAACGAGCGCAGAGAGAGTGAGCAGTCAGTGCTTGAGTGGCCGACGCGCAGTGGCGATTGTGAGAGAGTGAGCGAAAGGGAGAACGTTTGTGTGTGCAGGCAACGCAATGTCGAAGGTTCCCCAACTGCGAGTGTCTCCACTCAGGGTGCCGCAGATCGGTCTACGCGCATTTCAAGATGTGCTGACGAGGCTGAAGCTCGATTTTCTCCTCTGGGGGTGGAATTGGACGTGTCCGGAGATGGTGCGCGAGTATCTGCAAGAGAGACACAAGCCTTCTCGCGGATTTCGCCCACACCCAGAGAGATGGGAAATTTGCAATTGGGCGCAGGTGTTGGGCAGGTGTGCCGGCGAGGAAGGGGATCTCCTCTTCGAGGCCGATAGCGTGAAGGTGTCCCCGGAGGAAGAAGTCTCTTACAATGAGCTCTTCAAAGTGGCCAGACATCCCAAGAACGGTTTCCGGACTCGGGATTACAAGGATCGATTGCGGAGAAATGTCGCGACAGCATTGCTGCAGATATTGCAGCCGACCAAGACCGCTTACATGCATGGTTGGCAGGTAGAGTTCGTGGAGCTAGTGTCGTCAGGAGCTCCGGTGCATTGGGCACGGCTCCTGTGGAAGGTGACGCGCCAACATGCGCAAGAAG